TTGCAGCCATCATTGTTGTTTTGGCGGGTCCGGGCTGGGGATTCGAACCTGCCACCTTAGGTGTACGTGGCTGGCGCCTTAGCCAGTTGAGCTACAGGCGCGGAGCCAGAAGTAAATTTCTTATGATTAAGAATACTCTTCTTGGCTTGGTAACAAAAAGTAATCACCTCTCGGCCGGGCAAGGAGGCTCATACCTGTAATTCCAGCACTCTGGAAGGCAGAGGTGGGTGGACTGCCTGAGCTCACAAGTTCGAGACCAGCCTAAGCCAGAGTGAGACCTCCCCTAAAAATAGCTGGGCATTGTGGCGGGTGCCTATAGTCCCAGTTACTTGGGTGGCTGAGCAAGAGAATTGCTTAAGCCCAGAAGTTTAAGGTTGTGAGCAATGATGCCATGGCCCTCTACCAAGGGTGACCAAGTGAAACTCTGTCTCAAAAAAAAAATAAAGTAATCACCACCAAAGAAAGAAGAGTTTACCATAGGCCATAGGACATATAACCAAATCAAAAACATGTTTTTTATAACAACTCATGCTTATAGTTAATACTGTACTCTACACTTAAAAATTTGTTAAGAGGGGTGGCGCCCATAGCTCAGTGGGGAGGGCACCAGTCACACACACAGGAGCTGGTGGGTTCCAAACTGGCCCAGGCCAGCTAAAACAACAATGGCAACTGCAACAACAACAACAACAAAAATAGCCAGGTGTTGTGGCAGGCACCTGTCGTCCCAGCTACTTGGGAAGCTGAGACAAGAGAATCACTTAAAACCAAGAGTTTGAGGTTGCTGTGAACTATGATGCCACGGGACTCTACCCCAGAGCAACAGCTTGAGACTGTCATAAAAAACAAATTTATTAAGAGGGTAGATCTCACGTGATTATTATGCCAATAAGAGCAAACAAAAACTTACCTTTGCTGGATGTATATAAGAGTGCTGACTGAAAAGAAACCAATTGAGTATCAGTAAGACTCTCTTCCACTGACATTTGCACTGCATACCCAGCATCTGGGTTGACATTGGGCAAAGACAGTAAGTCTGTTGACCGAACAAAAAAGTTCCCGTGGAAAGTATGAATGGAAAGACCTAGAAGAGAAAAAAAATTATTAAAATGATTTTTACGTATCTACATTCATTTGTCAGATTGGCAAAAAGTGAAAAAAAAA